ATTAGACCACCTCCTCGATTTCGTAGTGAACAGTCTCTATCCAACCGATGCATATCAAATAAATCCAGATCAACTAAAGAGTCGTTGATGACGGGATGCAACCATAGTTCTTGCAGCATAACTATCCCCACTGAATAGTATTTTTCCGTCCTTATCAGTTTCGTGAAGTCGCTCATTTTTCCAAACAGTGATTGTACGTTTGATGAACAAATGGCAGGGATAGATATTTTCTGAGGTTTTGCTTTACGTAAGGCCACTTGCCAGCCTGCTCGGTGTTTTCTGAGGAAACCTGATCTAGACGGTCTGCATCTTTTGTATCTATTTTTAACTTGACGACTGAACTGACAGAGAATACCACTCTTGCGCGATAACACATACAGTACTGGTCGATTGTGATGCACTAAAATATTTTCTCTATGATCAAATGGAGTTTCATTATATTTACTACTTGTTTTAATGCTTTATGTATGGACAATAATTTTTATCTTGTCTACTGGGGTCTAAGTAGTTTCTAGGTTGAATACTTGTCAATTAAACGTGCGTGATCTTGGTTGCTAAGATTAAATGATGTGAACAAGAAAAACGCAAACTTTATCAAGTATGAAAACGCAATATATTCTAGTATATTATATATATTCTAATGTTGCAAATTCTTTAAGGAATCCGGGGCGTACGTAATCCTGAAAGCGATGAAAGAAAACTTGATTCAAACGATTAAATCCAATGTGTGATGTAAAAGTTGATAAATTGTTCACTGGAGCACAAAAATGTAACACGGCCGAAATTTGAAGGACCCGTCACTCACTTTCATGTGCCGTCGGTACGCACGGGATGATATTATTTGTTTCAAACGTGTCAGGACATGCTTCGATGGTTCAGCGATTTGTGCGACTCCATTTTCGCACTGTCCAGGCTGGACCAAAAAACTCAAGCGTGCAGGATGGCAAGTTGCCCTTAATTGCACCCTTCTGTCAAAGATGACTGCCCTCTCATAGGTCACCACCAAAACTCGGTCCCTGTTTCCCAAAATGTCGGATTTAACTAGTGTCCTCTGATCAAGAATTCATATGAACACGTGGAGAGTCTGTTCAAGAATCCTGGTTGAATAATGATGTAGGTGACTTTCTAGCGTCAATAGACGGTATTCAAGTTTACTGGCAGTATCGTGAAACTGGAGGAAAAAAGACCGGAGGGGGTGTTGCCACATATGTCAACGTTTCCTGGTGTGGCAAGTCCCAGGTTGTTTATCAGTACTGCTCAAAAGGTATTGAGTGCCTAACTATACAGTGTCACCCTAGATTTTCCCGTTTTACTCACACAATTTTGACTAACTTGTATATAGGTCCCTCTTGTACACAGTCTGATCGTATGTCATTTTTTGATTCGTTCATAGCTTTTATTGTCTCACTATTAGATGTTAAACTGCACATAAACGTTGGTGACTTCAACCATACTAGTACTTATCCAATTTAATCATTGGGTATGACAGATCTCTGTCACTCTCCCCCAAGAGGTAACTCTATACTGGTCAGAGTAATTACCAACCACCAAAGCCTTTTTTCTTTAGCACTGAAGGCTCCTATTTCTTCCAGTGACCATTGCTTACTCTAAGTTCGACCTAAAGTTTATTCACACGATGCACAAAAATCTTTCTCACGATCTGAGCACTTCAGATTTCGTTTTCGTAACTCCTCACCTACTCGTGTTTCTCTCCTGAATGAATCTCTCGGACAGGCCTCCCGATGGTTTTCATCATCTTCTCTGCTCAAATGTGTCCCCCTATACACCCAAACAATCAATGCCATTTTTAATTACTGCTGCCCTGTTCGAAGTCTCTACCTGTCCAACCGAAGGATAAACTCTCCCCTACTAAAGTCGCTGCGACGACAAAAGAAACGTGCGTACAAATCTCGCAGTGCTTCAACTGTTGGGTATTTGTCCAGGCTTATCAAAGCTGAAGTAAATAGATTGAACGCATTATTCTCAGATCGAATTCTGAGGACTGGAAACAGCAAACACCTGTGGCAAGCTATAAGACTTCTCTGTGGAAGGAAGAACGTACGGTCGAAGCTCGATGTGGATGCTAATGATCTCAATGCCGCATTCCTGCGCCAGTCATCGGACATTCTTCCTGCCTACTCGTCACAAAATGTTTGTAACGTGGAACCACTCTCACATTGTGATGTGTTAAAACTTTTAAAGTTGTAAATCGTCTTCTGCTGCAGGCCCGGATAGCTTACATCCAGCCCTCTTCAAATTTGGTGCTGCTTCCCTAGCTGGGGCAATTACTTCCATTGTCAATGAATCTCTTAACACTTCTACTATCCCCGGCTGTTGGAGACCGGTCGCAATCATACCAATCCCCAAATCACCAAATCTTCTATCCTCTCCAAATGGTTTCGTCCCATAGCATTAACGTCTTCAGCTCTTAAATTGACCGAAAAGGCCATTCTCAAACGCCTTCAGCAGTCTATAAACATTCCCAGTGATCCGTTACAGTTTGCTTATAAGCCTAATAGAGCCACCCTGGACGCAGTCTCTACCCTCTTTCATTTCATCACCAAATCTTTGAACAGCTCTGTTAAGTTTGTTCGGTGTTTTTCTTGACTGATCTTCGGCATTTGATTACATTCCTAGATCTAAGTTGTTACAAAAACTGGAATCGTTTGAATGTCCCACGCAGTTGTTAGCTTGGCTATCCAACTATTTTACCGATAGGGTACAAACCACTAGATTGGGGAAGGCCACATTGAAACCCTTAGTCAACAACTCCGGGGTCCTTCAAGGAGCAGTGCTATCTCCTTACTTATTTTCCACTTACATTTGTGATATTCCCTGCTTTTCTGTCGCACGAAATTTGAAATATGCAGATGATGTCGTGTTGTGCCAACCCATTTCTTTTTACTCTGATCTAAGCTCTTTCACCGATAATTTTCATCAAATTCAGTCATTCTCCTCCTCATCGGGGCTAACCATCAACCCCAGCAAATGTGTTGAGTGTTCATATAGTTTTGCTCGCTCTCCATATCCGACAGATCATACCGTGATTAATAACAATCCTTTATCCATGGTGAACTCTCTCAAATATCTTGGTGTAACCATAAATAGCAATATTTATTAGTCAACCCACATCCACAATTGCATTGGTAAACTGCGGCGCCTATCATTTCAAATACGAAAGCCCAGGCAGTTTCGCGCATCCCAGTCAGTTATTTCTACCTTCGTTTATTAATGTGTTCTCTCCATCTTACTTTGTTGTTCCCCAGTTACTTTTCCTGGATTACTCAAACAGGATTTTAAAGTCCTATGCCACGGTTTAACCATTATTAGTCGTCTCTTCTATTCCTGTGAATGAATTAACTGTAAAACTTTCAGAGTATCACGTAACTTCCTGTGTGAAATTTGCTGAGAGGATTCTCACAGATCCTGACCACCCATTGCACGCAGAACCGACTCTTTTTCGTTCCCATCATTCAACACGCTCCCAATTCCGCCAAATTTCATCTCGAATTAACGCAATTCACCCATACCGTGTCTTGCTCGGCTACTAAACAGAGAGCGGACAATGAGTGAACTGTCATAACCTTGGATTATGAAATGTCCCCATGTCTGTAAAAACTTTTCTCCCCGTTGATTATGTACATTGTGACGGTTAGCGTGTATGATATTTCAACTGAAATGTGAGCTCGTGTTTGAAAAGTTATACCATACAATACAATAGAGCTTCGCTCATCGTCCCCAGTTGCTTTAAAACCAGGCTGTAACCACTGAGAATGTCAATGGCAGATCAACATGGTGACGAGCACTGGACATTCTCTTCGTCTTCGCATTACCAAGAGAAGGCCATTAGTAGGACTTTCGCAGTGATTGAGAATTGACAGCTGACCCAGAATCCAAAACACTACGCTATCTCTCGCCACACCATACTGGGGTAACTTTCTACCCTATTGAATTGTGCATTAGCCGAGGGTGATACACGCAAAAGAGAATGATTTCGCACAATTGGTCAGCAGTTCGTCACACCGATACCAAAGAATCCCACATCATCGTCACAGGTTCCTGATTCATCGCCATTGTCTCTTAAAAGATAGGTAATCTCGTAGGAGGATGTCCACCAAAGAGCAAATAAAGACGGGTACCGTATCGATCCCCGTGGCCAGTCTTTAAACTTTCAACCCAGTTGCTGTACAACTAGGCGGAATTGAAGATAGGAATCCAAACCTATAATTATCTGGGATTTTTTTAGTCTGAAATCGACCGTTCTCGTAAGCACTGGTCCTCAGATAAATCAGTTACCTATATTCTGCTATGTTCACACTACGGTACGTAATCCAAAACCGATTGTGAAAAGCATCCCCGCATTTGAACAGATGTCTGTACTGCTTCTACAGACAGTTCATAGCTTTCTCCTGGTATGCGGATTCCAAGTGGCCACATCAAGTGATTTGTGTGAATACGGAACGGGGCACGGAGAGTAAGGGCATGTGTTAGGACTTCAGAGATGATTCGGAAACCCGCTATGATTCAGGCACTGTGAACAGCCTAGCACCCGTTTAGTTGTGCCATCGGAATGAGAAGTGCTAGAGTTTATGGAAATGTGAAAACTGTAAATTTGTCGTACGCATTTTTCACAGACAGATAGACAAACAGAGAGAAAAAATAGCAACAAACTCTGCGTATAGAAGTCCCCGAAACCACGAAATGTATGTGTAAGAAAGTTGATATTTAGTACGGTGGAAGAAAGACCAGTTTTAATCTGGACAAAGATATGCCAGAGCATTACACCACGCGAATCAATCGCAAATATGTCAAATGAGTGAAATGANCAGCACTCACTGTCGGAAAATGAAGTGTAAGATACCATTAAAAAAACAACAACATAATCAACGTGTTGAAAGTGGTCGGGAAAGTATTTTCGATCGATACAAAATAAACGAGGAAAAAGCTTAGGGAATCGATCACAAATGCACACAGACACAGATTGGAGGACATTATTAGTCTCATTGCGTGTTGTTCGCACACGGAAGGAACAAGTCATAACTACGGTCCTTTAAGATGGATTGAAGATGTTCCGGTCGCAATTCCACATACGGATGTGGGGAATCGCGGCTGAGGAGATCTAAAATCTTTTTGGTTATGGTGGTAATGTGAATCTCGTTGGTGCTGGCCAGTCGGCGTAGATTGTGATCGTCCAGAACGGAATGCACTTGAGCCTCGTTCAGTTCCGACAGGGTCATCCATTTCGCATCGGACAGTTCCTTCGCGGGGAACAAAGAACCGGAAAAAAGGTGAGAACAATAACTAGTCTCGGAGGAATATGGGGCCACGTTTAATTTGCGTTTGCAAAGACTGTTTCGTGCATTTTGAAAGGAAGTATAAAGCTACACCGAGTAAAGTAATAGTAATAGTTCAATTCCATTTCTTAGATATACTATAACGGATTCCAAAGACTGAACTAAATGAATAAAACACTTTTTCAGCTTGTGAATATCCGGATTGAGCAGTACAGAAGTGCAACCACGCAAGAACAGTTTCTCACCGTTGAGGTAAAGCAACCACTCTATACATAGTCATTTATTTTGGAGGTGATACAGTGGTGGAGAAGGTAACCAGACGCATAGAAGCTGACCTTAGGAGAGTATTTCATTCGGCTGAGTTACGTTCAATCACTCTCTTACGCCAGTGCTCTCATTACAGATTTTTAAAAAATGACATCAGTGAATACGACCTCACTTCCTTCGTTCCTCTGAAGCAACACCTCGCCAATGGTATCGGAAAGGAATGATAACGGACTGCTCAAAGCCGGAGCAATTACGGGCACTGTTTATGAAACCGGACCTGTCACTTGGTGACCACGAATGAGTCATTTTGACGAATCTACCGTCCACAAGAGATGTTAGCGCAATCCTGACTTTTCCTGAAAATCCACGCAGAACCAACGTAAAATGGATTCGGACATATCACTACTGCTGCGGGAAGTTGACGGTGTTTTCTCTGGATGTTACTGGATTGGTGGAAATCAAAGTAACAGACAGAAAACTGCAATCCAATTGCTTTATTTACTTTGTCGGTGCTCTCTCTCATTATTTCCAATCCGAAAAAATTAGACTGTGAGAAAAACTAGGAAGATACTACGCTTTTCCCTTAGCTAACGCGGTTTTCTGGTGCTTTCTACTAACACATTCACACTGTGGCACTTGTCTTTTGTCTGGAAATCGTTAGGAAACATCTGATGAGACGGAATTCGGTGATAGACTGCCAAACACGACACCACCAATCCAGTAACATTGAGAAAATACCGACTATTTACCGCAACAGTGATGGGTTCGAATCCATTTCCGGTTTATTCTGCCGGGGTGGGGGGTGGAATAGGTTCTCCCTGGCCTATTACAAACACTTCAAAGCGAATTAGGGAAAAAGTTTGCAACATTGATCACGGAGTTGTGCATTACCAGTGCTAATTCACATCTCATCACACAGTAACCATTCATGCTATGTTGTCCATCTGCTCACTCATTTTTACCTAATTGTTTCACTAGTTCATCCAATGCAATCAGTGGGTGTACTCACCCACACCTCACATTTAGTAATATCTTTTGGTCAAACGTATGCCTATCCTATCCAGTTAGCACAATAATTTCTAAATTCTGTGTGACCACAAAGGAGAACCATGATCCCCCAATGTAGCCATCCATGTTCTGGCAACTGAACTCAACTCGAAACCGGATTCGCGAGGNGCAGTTTGGGCTGGAATGTGATATTCTTTGGGTAGGGAAAACTAATGTAGCACGTTCGTATGAACCCACTGTTTCGGAATCGATCATTTGTTAACGAACCTGTTAATCGCACGATACGGAAGTGCGATTTCCATCTCACTGACGCAAGTATGTTCGACGGGCACGATTAAGGCCTCTCTAACGGCAATTCGGAGCCAGAAATGTTACTCTCCGAAATACCCGTGCCGGACGAGAATAACGACGAAATTCGGGAGGATCAGATTAGCGCAGTCAAAACCGGCTAAAAAAAGCTTACATTTGGAGTGTATATTGCAGCAGTTCGGCCCGGCCTGATCTACATTACAGAGACTTGGTCATAACGGGAAAAAGATTTTAAAAAAATAAATAGTCGGTGTTCGAACACTGCTGTCCACGTCACATCTCACGAGTCTGGTGCGGTCTCGACTCGTAGGCATTGAACTGTTTACGGATAGATAGCACAGCTGAGTGCTACCGAGCGCGTTTCCAGGTCGCGGACGATCAGTGGCGATGCTAGAGGACGTGGGGCGGTTTCGGCTGGTAACCGATATATCCAATTTAAATGTCATAAGGGTCTGTCTGCTGACAGCATCGCGACGTGTGCGAGTGTGGCCAGTCACCAAATAAGGCCATTGCTACTGGCCTACTTTTACGAGTAGGACAAACTGAGGAACGCTACCTCACGGACACGTTGGGAATCCTGGAATGGCACAGAGCCATCCGAAAGGCGTATGAGTCGTTCTAACGGTCACCGACTATCAAAAATTCTACCCTGCAGGTCGCACTTGGTTGGGTAAGGGTTAGAGGTGCACCCTCGAACAAAAGCCGAGCGACGCTGGGGAGGTCACTTAGTACTTCATTCCCAAGTTTTTTTCATGGGTCGTCCTACAATGGTACATCACGGCTGGGGTGACAAATGAGCAAGCTGGGAACCTAAACCATCTATGCACCACATCCAGCACCCATGTAGCCTGCTGGAATGTTAGAACATTTCTAGACACAGAAGCCAGTGTGCGCTATGTGCACGACTACAAGGTAGACATCTGTTGTCTGTCCGAAGTCCGACTACCTAACTGTGGCACAAAACTAATCCACGCACGCCATAGCAACGCAACCTACCGGTTATACCACAGCGGACCAAATGACAACTCCGTCTGTACGGGGTGGCAATCGCCGTGAGCGGAACAAATCCCTCCCAGGATTGCCATAGCGCGCTTCAGAGGAAAGCCAGTTAACCTGACAGTCATCGCTGTATATGCTCTCACGTTACATGCAGAAGAGCCCATTAAAGACTACTTCTACGACCAAGTTCAAGACGCAGTGAACCGCAGTCCGAGGCGCGACATCCTCGTTATCGCTGAGGACTGGAACGCACGCACTGGTACATCAGACAAAAGTTCAGCCTCGATCAACGTTGCGAAAATGGCGAACGCCTAGTCACATTTGCTGACCTTAACTGGCTGATAGTGGCCAACACTCGATTTTAGCACCCCAGAAAACACCTGCCGACGTGGTATTCAAATGATAATCGAACGGCACACCAGATTGATTATATTTTGATACGTGCTCGCTGGGCCTGTTCGGTAGAAGACAGCCGTTCCTATCGCGGCGCAGAAACTGGAAACGGGAACGGTACAAACCATACCCTTGTACGCGCCCGTTTCAAGATGCACAAGACTACTCGCCGGAAGACTCGTTTGCTGGGCAAATTCAACGTCACGCTCTTCGGACGACCTGAGAGAAGGCAGGTGCTGCTGGACGTAAACACGTCCAACATAGCCAAAACCTTCGTTAATGACTCAACTGTCGACGCACAGTGGTCTACACTGAAAACGTCCACCAGAGAAGCGGCGCTGGGGCAGTTAGGTGAGATTCTTTACCACAAGAGAGACTGGATCTCCGAGCGTACACTGCAGTTGTCCGCAACGTCAAGAGATGCGCGGCTGATCAATTCTCCTGAATTTCGTATTCTCCATCGCCAAGCCAAACGCTTCGCCAAGAGCGACGTAAACAATACTGGAAGGCGATTGCAGACAGCATGGAGGCTGCAACCGTCACAGCGGACTTTGGAAAGCTATTTCGTCTAACTCGCGTTGCAGCAGGAAAGAGACAGACATCGGAACCACTGTTGCGCACAACCACAGGCCAAATTATTTAGGGAACCGGGCACAAAATGCAAAGGTGGGCTGGATAGTTCGACGGGCTGCTCAACCGACCATCAAACCAAGCTGGCTCTCTACAGATGTCAAGCAGTTCGGAGACTTACATCAATTGCGACCCACCGAGCACGACAGAAATCATCAATGCAGCTACTTCCATGAAAAACAGGAAGCCCCCTGGAGAAGACGGGATACCACCAGAGTTATTTAAAGCTTGCTTACCAACTCTGATCGATCCGCTGCACTTTCTTTCCCNCCCAAAATGGGCGACAGATCTAGATGCGAAAATTACAGGGGTAATAGCTTGATTGATATTGCGGCCAAATTGTTTGCAGTGATACTGCTTAATCGCTTCGCAGTCGTCAGGGATACCCACACTCGCCCGAACCAAGGGGGTTTCGCCGCGGAAGAGGCTATGTTGAACAAATCTCCACTCTCTGTAGAATTCCGGAACACCGCTACAAGTTCCAACAACCTACCACCGCATGTTTCATTGACTTCCGCGCTGCGTTTGACTCCGTCGATAGACAATCCTTGTGGTGCATATTTCGGTCCGATGGGATGCCTGAGAAGTTCATCAGGCTTTTAAAGTCATACTGCTGAGGAACCCGGGCACGCGTCCGTACCTATGGAGAAGAATCGGTTGAGTTCACCCTAAATTCAGGAGTTAGACAAGGTTGTCCCCTATCGCCGGTGTTATTCAATTACACCGTAGATTGGATAATGCGACAAGCATTCATTGACCACCCTGGAGTGCAGCTTGGCCCAGGTACATTGATTGCGGACCTAGAGTTTGCGGATGATGTCGTTGTACTTGGAGACAGCATGGACAACCTACAGCCTATTGTCAGTTGTATAAATCAGTTTGCCCAGTCCATTGGGCTAGAGATCAACATGCCGAAAACGAAGATATTGTCGACCGAAACTTTTATCATGACACAACCCCTCTTGATTAACAGGGAGCCTGTCGAATCAACCGAAGTCTTCATGTATCTTGGTTCTACGGACGGCCAAAAAACAGCAACCAAAACCGGCGCACGAAAGTGCGAAATGAATCGTTGCGAAAACTCAAGCTGACTGCACGAATCATACGCAAATCACCGACGAGAAGCACTGCGAATTTCTGAAGTCAATTGTATTTCACCGAAAAAAGACAACACTGTGCAAAGCAAATTAAGACGATCGCCTGTTCTTTGTACTGATGTGGATTTTTCCCTCCCAAAAAGTGAAATAGAAACTGTATTCAATATTTCTGAACAAGCAACACAAGCTGAATTTTGATGTGAGCAGATGCACATAGTGGTTAGTTCTGCCACCTCTCCTCTCATTCGTCATATCGAGTGGGGTTCGAATCCTGAACTTCAGAGTCCAGAGCATGCCAAGGACTACCTACAGCCAATCGAACACGATTATAACCAATTCATAGTTTTACACATGACTCAGTGCCAAAAGAAATTAGGAAGAGGTGGAAATGACCCCTGAGACGATACATACTCGATTGTACACATATTGCTGATTCAAACAGTATATACCAGACCCAAAGTTTTTCTTAACGGCCTACTTTTTGACAGGGACGTATTTTTGGCAAGTCAATGGTTCCCGGGGGTAAGTTCAGTCGACAAAGAACCAATAGATCGGATCGATCAAATGCATTCGGGTGTCGATGCTGTTGTCGGAAAGCGATCACCCCGGAGAACACCGCGTCCACATTGCATTCCTCGTACACCTCACGTACCACAGCTTCCGCTGAAAAGGAGACAAACGATGACGACTATGAGGATGACCTCAATGCGTATGCATTCATGACATCTTCCGAAATCGGATAAAAAGACATATGTAAACCATACATCATGAGCGAAAGCTAACACCCGATAACTTGCGTTTGCATACAGGTTTTCAACTTGTTCATTCTCTGATCTTCCATATTCAATGAATTAACGACAAATACCGCATCGTCCTATGATCCGTTCAGTATTTTCCCGTGTCAAACATTCAGAGTGTACGCGTGATTCTCCCTGATCATTTAAAGTACATTTACCAGGACCACACATCCTGACCTCGGTAACGGTCTGGTAGCTTCTGACAATGGCTTATTAGCCATCAGTCGTGATTTAGCAGTCACGGCTTAGAATAAAATAAACACACCTATACTGTATGAGGTCACATCTCACCTCGTGAGGTTTCGCGTGACTTTATAGCATCACGTGAGCCGGGTGAACAGAACTAACTGTTTAAGACTAAAAAGATGATTCCCTAAAGGTAAACCGTGCCACCTGGTAGGAGAAAACCCAGCGATTATTGTGGAACTGATTGATCCGAATCTATTAATCTGTATATTTATCATCATCATCGTTGTACAGCGAAATACAGTGAGGCGAACTTCACTGATCGCTGCCAAACTCACAATGCATACAAGGTTAGCGGTAAAATTTAAGGTGGACAGGAATTAGACCTATTTTGAGGGAGGGAGAAGAAGGTGAACCACTATGATCAACGCAGAGTACGCAATTGAACTTTGCATGCATACCGTTTCAAGCATTCTGACCTGATAAGAAACGACAACAAGAACGCCACTGCTGTCGTTTCACTGTCATATCCTTCAATGTCTCCAACCAACCGGTTGTGGAATCTTTCGGACCCCAACCTAGAAGGCACGAGACACCTACTCTACCTATTGGCTCTGTGCATTTCTTCAGGCCTCGTCTACACGTCATCTGTTCACCTCCAGGTGGTTTCCTCAAGCCCGGATTAGCTACAGCGAATAAAGCGCGGTGCGGCAGACGACAGCTGGACATACGCAATATGTGCCCTAGTCAGCGAAGTCGACTAATCTGAATTCGGTGCCAGCAGGTTTATACCTGATAGACTCCCAAACACAAGACGGCTTACCTTCACGTCACCAACCCGTTCGCTCCATCCAACGTGGGCCAAACTGCGTAAACACCACTAATCGAAAACTTCTAGTCGACAGATATCTTCTGCTCGCAAATTCAAGGTCTCACAACCATAAAGCAGGAGTGAACGAACGCTGCATATTCCTCATGGCTGGTCTTCTTGACTACCATGCATATACCTGGGAGAACCTATGCATTCATCAGGTGGAGAGAGAGAAAAGGATGATGTCAAAGAGAAACGAGTCCAGCACGCGCTGTGATTACACGAGCACGGTAAGTTCCGGGGCTACGATTTGACGCTGAGAAAACCAATAGGAAAAAAACGGGGATCGAAAATGGGCTATGAAAGAAAGATGCAAATCTCACTAGAGTTGCTTGCCGATCTGTGACGGACTCGGTTTATTATTATTATTAATAATAGTATTTTTAAGGAACACTAGCAGCTGGGTAAGTTGTTACATATCTTAAATATTCTCAATTCGATTGGAGAGTACCTCACGGTGTTTGAGATAAATTTGAAAACAAGGAACCAAATTTAGAGCACACCGAAAAGTCAAAAGGTATCAAAGAACATGGATTCAGAATGCGGGCGTGTGTGAGTAAACAATCCACTGATTGGATTTAGTTTATTTACTGTATCGCATCTGGCAAATTTTGGCTGGTTTGCGAAAGTATATTCGTCATGCACAATGAACGTGTCAATCATCAGTGATCTGCCTTTGAAGCACTGGGCCCGACGGCTAGGAATCATCAGCAGTGTGTGTGTGTGTGCATATCCACCGACTCAACTGGGATTCGAACCCAGACACGAGCATTGTTAGTTGGACGCGCTAACTTCTTGGCTCATCCGGGCTGGCTCTCTTCAGCTTGTTGCACATCAACACAGCATAAAATAGCACTCACTCGTCACTATCGTTGAAAGTACGTCAACGTTGCCAGATCGTGATCGACTCGCTGAGTCACGATTTCTTAGTGGGGTTCCGTAAGTATTGTCTGATAAGATCCCGGTGCTTTCAACGACAAAAACAGAAATTATTAAGTACGGACATTCCCCTCCTTTGTTCTGTGTTATCCGACCAAGAAGTGTTTACGTCACAGGACTGGGTCCGAAATCTCACATCTGACGCGACTTTGTGCAGTGTGGGTGCACTGGAAACATGCGGTTATTCTGCTCCGGGGCTGTGACTGACAACTTTCAACCAGTGGCTTTTGAGTGCCAAAGACTGATAAACGACTGAAAACTTGTAGAATAACCATCGGTAAAGTAAGTTACCGATTTGAATGAGTTAGTAAAAAAATATTACTGTGGACCGCCATCAAGAGCACAAAAGCAAGCGTTAGTAACAAGCAGTTGATGTTTAACAGTTCTTCTGTGCAACTTTCTCTAACTTGAGGATAGTTTGGCATCATGGATCAGAATAATATATACACAAGAATTCTCCGGAACAGGGTCACAAGCCGTGGTCCGAGCACCATCCCGCTGTTCTAAACCGTTTCCCATCAAGCTTTAGCCAAGACCCGCCATCCTTTAGCCTCGACGCACAACTAAAGCTTGGTGGGAAAAGGCGTAGTGAAGTTTACATCTGTAGCCTTTGCACGTGCAACACGCAAGGTAACCGGGTTGAGCTCAGACAAACTGGTCATTAGACGCTCGGTTTACTCATCTCTTTTGGAAGGCCTCATCGATTGGATGGAACGGGACAGGGAGTGATGGCCGTATTAGCGACGCGTTACCTTCACCGTTTTTTTAAACCACACACACACACTTGTGTGATGAACTGCAGACGGGGTGAACCCCATAATCCGTTCAATGATGGAAACCGGTTACATAAGCCATGGGGCTTGGAGTGGCGAACCACATAAGGCTCCGGCTAGGTTAGGTGTCAGCAGTTTTCAACTCCACGATGAAGTGGAGATGATAAATGAGATCTAGTGAACGTCCCGCCGGTCTGGTCAACGCCTGTTTTTAGAGATACCAAACCGAATATAGTGTCAACGCACCGCTTGTGCATTCTCATCCGCACACTGTCCAGCGTGGTTGTCAATAGGGATAAAAAAATGTGAGTAATGCAATTCTAGCCCACATACACGAAACGGGTCACGAACTGACACGACAGGAGGGAGGGTTCAAGGTCATAGACCACATAGCTCATGATCGATTAGAAAAGGGTGAAACACTGAATCCTGTCCACAACCGAGGCGATCCTGACCAGGCTAAACCGACTAACGTCGTGCTCGTAGAGGCCGTTTGTGAAGACCTTGGCTTAAGGTCTGCATGACTGTAGAATAGACATATCAGTTCGACTCATCCGTGACTGGTTCATCTGGACACAATCCCCAACATAACTGTTCAAACACAAACACACTACAGATTATTATACTACGTTATGTTTACACGTTCAATTAGCCCGGTGTACAGTACCGAAAAAAAACCAGATCTTTCTTCACCACTTTCAGACTTCTCAGATGCAAAACGTGACAATCGTATTTCTCTAGTTAAGACGCATTCTAGGTGAACAGGCTTGTTTTTGGTAACTTCGTCTTCAGGCGCTCACAGCTGCATGCACGTTGATACGCGAAACTCGTCGGAATGTCTCTTAGTCATTAAAATGAAATCAAGCTGCTCAAAGTAATTCATAAACATGATTATAACATAAAAGGATGGCAGGATGGAGGATATTCACACGATATGTCGGTGGAGTTCTGTCTGTTTACCTGAGTGTGGGTCGCATTCTCTGACGTCATCATCGCATGACACTGGTCACGATCGGATTCACCAATTCGGTCAACTCGAGGCCATCATGCACGCTGGAGTGTTTTGACCAGTTTTTTTTTGTCTGTCCACACACGACGATGGGCTTAGCAATCGAATTTCTACGGCTCCCGCTATTGCTACTTTGCATTGTTGTTGTGTACGCGCTTCGATCTCATCGCAGACACTCAGTACATGACCTTGAAATTGTCGTTGTCGTTGCTGCTGCACTGTGTCGGCGAGGTAGGCTACGAATTCTAGTTTCTTGTCATTTTCATGCAACCAGACCGGTTTGTGATCTTGGATTCTCTCTGCGACAACCGCCTCTTCGTATGACCTACGTGTAACTCGGCCCACAGATGAAAGTAAATGACTGACCAATCGACATTCCAACGTGTATAAATATGCACGTAACCGTATATGCCCGAAGACGAATTGACGAAAACAAGCTTCTCGAATTGAACTGGTCTCAAATTTCTCACACCACAGAGTAGCCGTGGAATATAAGAAAGTGGGACCCTTAACGAAACCGACTTGTCGCGTAAGTGCCACTGTTCACACACAATACGACTCATTCAACGCCTCAAATCCACGATAAGGCTGTCCCCTCCCTCCGCCGCCGCTTCCTCGAGAGCCTCAAAAAACATCATACATCGAGGCGGCACAGATGATGCGAGGTGGGAGTATTTGTTGCACATGTGCTTGATGAAGTTAAAACACGAGAGCGATGGTAACTGGCGCGCGTTGTTCACTTAACTTCGGAATCGTAAGCCTGGTGGTTGTCCATCAGACGTGTGAGGGATGCTACGTAGCCAATGGTATTTGCACACCATGGCTGCAGTATCGTATCGCTGCTTCACGGGTAGTTGGATCTCATGGAAACTTATGGACTTATGCTCCCCATCAAGTATCGTAACCAAAAAAACAGAAAGATAAAATCCGCAGTCAGACTCACCAATATTTTCTCCCAAATGCGTCAAACCGGTGGGAAATTTCCATCCTGGAAACTGGACAGATTTTGATTAGGGCTTAACAATCATGCTCACCCGAGACCCGGCTCGTTCACGAACCATCAAAATGTGCGTCTGTTCGGGATTGGT